AAAGGGGAGATTGTTGTGTAATCTTCCTGGTGTCACCCTCACAGGCACTGAGGCGTTTCATCCCTAAAACTGAGATCCATAACAAATTTCAGTCGGGAATCCAGTGTAATCAGAGTGTTGTTAGACAAATTTACATTTACTGGAACCTTTTTTTAAACTATCCATTGAATAAATGAAATGCAACATAATTCTGAAAGTGCTACCCGCTAAGAGTTTATTCACTACAGTTACTGATTTCAGTGGATCGTCTAAGAGGAATGAGATTTTCTGAGCAGCCCTTGTGTTATTCCACTGTGAAAATGACTGAAATGAATACTCAAGGACATTCTAGCAAGTTTATGCATATGCAATCACACTGTGGTTGAAATAATACCTGTGAGAGAAGTAAACAAATCATCTGCACAGTAAATTTGGTATGTGTCTAACCTCTAACCCAGACTACAATGAGAGAGGTCAAATTCAGGTGGAGGCTTTGTATAGGTACTGCAGATTTATGATGTATAATAACAATAAATAGCACTTTTCAAAAAGAAATTCTCTGTTCACGTTACACAACAGCATTGAGCATTGAGGCGAAAGTTGATGCAGGTTCATGTTTTTTGCGTTTTTTGTGTGTGCGACTCCCTTTGTTCAACTTTTGTGTCTGGCAGTGACTGTAAAAGCAAGGGAGCATTGAGTTCTCACCATTGGTAGGTAGGTTGAGAAAAGTGTCCCTCACTCAGAGCACTACAAGTCTCGGCTGCGGTGCATACTGGTGTTTTTCAGGCCGTTGTTACTGAGGGAATAGCTACCTTTGTGTCCTGCATGGTGACTTTTTATTTGTACTTTCATTGAATTTCTGTGTCTCTCCACAGACGCTTGTGTTCTTTCATTCTGAATGAAAACACAACAGGCTCCAAACGTCATGGCTGATTCGTAATAACTGGGATTTTAAACCCTATTAAGGTGTATGAGGCAGTTGAAACAGAGCAAAGAAAATCTGAATATTTTACATTTCATTCAGGTAGTCAAAAAAATAATAAGGCCAAATTACAGATTAGAATTGTGTGGGATCATTTTGACAATATGGTAAGAGACAGAAAAGTAAAATGTCTCTTTTGTTGTAGAGAATAACTCTGACAGGTGGATTTCAGTTGATTCGTGCTGAGCTTTTTTACTCTGGTTGCCATTATTGTGTCCTATTCTGTGATTTCCCTCCTTTATTCAGGTATTCAGTTTTCTCTTTTTCTGCCTGCTGCACTTCTTGTCTCTCCTTCATTGCTCTGATGTGTCTTTTGATCGCTCTTTTGTGCCTCCTGCACATTTACTCGCTGTTTCCATCACTGTCTTTCTGCTGGAGTTTCCAGGCAGACCCAAGAACAATCATCAGACTGTAGTGAGAGTTTACCTCGCAACACACACACACACACGCTCTCTCACATGCACAGGCCTGGTCTTGGCCCTGTCCTGCTGGTAGTGAATTCCTTACCCGGCACTGCCCTAGTAGCTTTGGCTAGCGAATGATTTGCTGCTACAATATCAGCTGTTCTGTAATGCCATCCTGGGGCTTTTTGTTGCCGTAACACTAGCGTGCACTGGCACTGCTTCCCCAAACTGTTGTTGTCACCTTGTACAAGAGCTTTAGACGGCTTTAACGGCAGCAGCACCTTTTGATACATAGCATTAGCCTACAGTATCCCCATTTGTTCAACATGTTAGCTGTAGCTGAAGGAGGAGGAGGAGGAGTCAGTGTCGTCATCTGATTTAAAAGATACAGCTCCACTATCAGTAGGAACTATTATTTGGTTCCTCCGGCATATTTAAGCCGGAAAGAAAGCGATCCATTGTTATTAATTACTGGTATTTTTCTGCAATACACATTTTTTAGACCAATTCCACAAAGAAACCCACCCTTGTCTTTTTTATGCATTCATGTGCCTCTCAGGATGAATTGAAGTGATTTAGTGATCAGTCAGTTAAAATTTCCCATCAGCCTCAGCTGTACTTTGTATTTAGTGCTAACTAGCAAATGTCAGAATGCTAACAAGCTATACTATGATTGTGAATATGGTACATGTTATATCTGCTAAACATCAGCCAGTCACTGTGAGCATGTAAGCTTTTAACTGCTGTGTCTCAGTACAGCTTCAGAGAGCTGGTAGCGTGGCTGTAGTCTCGTTGCTGTGTTTTTCCAGCTGTAGTATAGTAAACAATGATGTTAGGATGGACCGTATGTGATGCTATTTGAAAATAGCTACAGACTACAGAGTGGCATGTTGCAGGTTTCCCTCCTACCTTCCTCTCTCTGAACTCTGCTACTCTCTTCTCCTCTATTACCCCCTCCTGTCTTCCTCACACTTCTTCACAGCCTCTTTTTTTTCCCCTCTGTCACCTATTCCCTCCCTCAGAGCTCTCTCGACTCCTGCAGAGACATGCTGCGTCATGGAAACGACCAGCTCGGGGTGTGTGTGTGTGTGTGTGTGTGTGTGTGTGGGGAGGATTGCTGGTGTTAAAGCCACCCTAACAGCACCTCCTGCTGTCCTGCTTGGCAGATCATTATAGGCACTGAAGATTTACAGTGAGGCTGAACGACAGAGACAAGAAAGAGAGAAAGAATCTGAGACCAGAAAAATCTGCATACACTTGTCGGTATTTTTCATAATGTGTTTGTGTGCAAGTTTTGGTCAACATTATCTATGGACTTGTGGGTTGTTAAGAGGAAGTTGTTCGCCATGACAGAGTCACAGTGCTCTCATGCAGAGGTCTATGGTTGTTTATGGCTAATTAAGAACACAAGATGTCCCTATTTTTAGATAGATCTAGATCTTTCTAGATCAGTGGTTCCCAACTTAAGGGTCATGGGGGGGTCACAAGGCCTTCTTGATTTTAAGGGGTGATCTCGCACACACTTTGGTGGTCGGTGTGTCTATTGCTAGCTAACTTACAGCTACAGTTGGGACATTGCATTTCAGATTTCAAATTTGAAAAATATCTGTTTAATCATCCTTTTATTTTTTATCAGCAATGAAGTAATGTGCCAAACATTCAGGGAGTGATTTAGCTAAATAACTAACTTGTAATCTATCTAACAACTTTAAGTTATTTACTAGTTAACATTATCAAATGGATGAATTTGACATGGTTTCAGAAAAAAGATACTGGATTCCGATTCAATTAAATGCTGTCAAACCGCCCCTAACCCCGGCTCTCCTGCCTCTGAATGTTAGGATGTAAAGATATAAGGAGTGAAAGACTGGCAAGCCAAAATATGGGCACAGGAGAGAAAAAGTGCCTGAGCTAGTGGATCCCCCCGCCCATTCTCTGTTCTCCTTAAGCCTCGCTGTATTCCCTGCATTGTGCGTATAGATGAGTTTGTGTGTGCGTGTGTTTGTGTGTCAGAGTAAGAAAGACTAAAATGCCACAGACAGACACGCAGTGCTTTGGCAGCACTTTCACAGCCCACAATGAAAGAAAAGGAGCCATGAAAATCTCCTAATTATACACACACACAGAGAGACACCACAGTGTTGGGAATGAGACAGGAAACAGGATTTCTGCTGTAACATGGGTTTATATGTTCATTATTGATGAAGCAACAGAAAGACTATGTTTGGATTTGGAGTTTATCACTACATACTGTAAATGTCAGTGTGTCAAGTTGTTTTTCTCTCTCTCTCTTTTTCTAAAAGATCTACAGCTGGCTCTGTGTTTCCGTTTAGAATTGTGATTAGGGCAAAATGGAAAAACTAACATTTAGAGGTGCTATGTGAGAGATTAACATCAATTTGGAGGTGTTACATTACAGTTTTGATTATATTCATTTTGAGATGTTGGTATAATTAACATAAAACAAACAAGGATATCAGCCTCCACTTGCTTTTTAATGTTTTCCCACCAGGTCAGATTGAGGAAACTATTACATTGCTTTATTGTACACAAGTGGAATACGCTGTGATTTCAAACAGCTCTGTACTGTTTAGACAGTAGCTGTATGGATGCGTTATGCTGTCATCATATGCATCCTTTTTTTTGTGAGTAGATTTTACCGGATTTGTCCACCAATCATCTTTGCAATATTTAGCTTGAGAGTCATGCTAAGACTGTTAAACTTTGGAAAAGTCATCCAAATTGAGAAGTTTGTCTTTATAATCTTTAATTAGGATTCAAACTTTATATATGAAATTCACTTCCCGCTAGATGTCGCACTAGAGAACCAGCATCTCAGACCAAGACAATGGGCACTGCGGCTGAAAACCGTCTTTGTTAGTCTTTCAACAGTTCTACTTTCCAACAATCACTAGCACTTGTTTGATTGAAATATAGGTATAGCTGGTATAGCTGGCATGTAACGTTAGCTAATCCACTGGGACAAATACACCCGTGAAAGTACGTCCCTTAAAAGTGGTTGATCTGGCGACACTTATAGTTACTGGTGGTAACGGTAAGTGTCGTTTCCTACTACAGTTCCTAAAATTCTGGGGGCAGCAAAACGAACTACTGTCATTTATAAATAAGTCGGGCAGTAATTGACTATTCTCCATAGAGCTGTAGTGTGCGGACAGCAGGGTACAGGGAATTTAGTTGGTTACCTCACTGAGAATTTGAAGGTGTGCAGCTCTTCAGCTAACAGCTTACTTACTTCATAGTAAAGCAAACTCAAGTTTCTTTAGTTAAATGCTTTTAATGTGAAGCTGCAGCAGTAAGAAATGTTTGGCTTGCATTAACAGCAACTTAAGACAGATTTTTTTTCTGTTGACAGAGTGAGCTGACTGAGCTAACCCTGTATTTAACAGAATTGTGTGATTTAAGGTTTGGTACAATGATCTTGCATTGAAAAATGTGCAGCACCCCTCACCTGTCTGCTTTGTCTTTCTCCCCCTTCTCTCTCCTTCATCCCTACCAATTTTTTCCCACGGCTTTTTGCCACCCCTGCTCACTCTCTCCCTCTGTTTCTGTCTCGATATCATCCATCTCTTCCTCCCCGCATTCCTCCCTGCTTATGTTCCTTCCCCTTCTTTCAGGTTTGTCAAAGTCCTTCCCATTGGACAACTCTCTGTTCGACAGCTGGCTCGCGCAGTCGGTTCAGATCACCGCTGATGACATGCTGAGCCAGTGGGCCCTGGGTGCCCAACATCGGGACAAGAGCGGCAGCCTGCTCTCCGACCAGGTAGGGCTTTCAGTCGCGGGAGGCCAGCAAAGTAATGCCTCGACTATTTCTGAGTTGAATGATAACTAATACATACTTTAGAGCTACTTTTGATAATACAGCAACGGATTGAATTCAACTGTGGATTTTAACTTTTATTGTACCTTCAAAATAAAAAGTGATCCGCCAACTGAACTTAATTTCAGTGGCAAACAGCACACAGACCAGACCAGTTAAAGGAGGAATACATAAGACAGCTGCAGTTCGGCTCTTGACAGTGAATGGCAGCACACATTGCAAAAGTCAAACAGTCCATCACCTCTTGAACTGAATCCCAGTCCACTTCACTGGTGGACAAAACTGACTGCCAGGAGCCAAATAAGAAACTGTCCTGCCTATAGACGTTATTGAAACGGACATCCAAAGTTGCATGAAGTTCCTAGTTAAAAATCTTGACTAGGGGGCAAAAGGGAGAGAAAAATGTGTAGGTGGGAAGTAAACTTTTAAAAAACTTAATAACTGCTATAATCAATTGCAACAGCTAATACTGCCTGTATTGTACAAGGACAGAATACACAAGAAATTTTTGCACGTTTGTGCACTGAAAATGTTCCATGTTAACATTACTTTTCCACACATAAGCTAAATCAAAATATTTGCTCAATCTAATGACTTTACCTTGAGACTATCACGTTAATGTTTACATGTAAAATGGAGCACTGTTGTTATTTTTCTGCATGTGTTCCCTCTTGCTCTGATAGCACTTTTAACAAGTAAATTTGTGATTTTTAACTGACTTGAGCTGTTAGCACTATATTAAAACTTGGGTGTATCTTCTACAATAACTTTGAATAATTCTGAAGAGTTTCCATTTTATTGTAGTACATTATAGTTTCCCACACTGAAAACCATCGAAAGTTCCCACTTTCGTCACACACCCACAGAAAAGACTTAAGCCTCCACACTTGAAACCACCTTTTATTTAGAATTATTTTGCCTCTTTAGATTGAATCTTTACATAAGCAGAGTTTTGAGTGTGTGTGTGTGTGTGTGTGTGTGTGTGTGTGTGTGTGTGTGTGTGTGTGTGTGTGTGTGTGTGTGTGTGTGTGTGTGTGTGTGTTTTGCTCACTTTCCACTGTGGGTTGATCAGTTTTAAGAAAGAACTCATGGTCAGAGCAGAGCTGCACTGTAGCTGACCTGCTGTTCTCCTCAGGAATGTGCTGTTTGTGTATTGATTGGCAGGGGCCTTCAACCAGTATGCATGATATAACTCCATTGTTTGAGGATTTGTTCAGGAACAAAACAACACATGAACACTGTAATTTTTAATTAAAAAGAATGTTTATATGAAACCTGATATCCTTAAGAAGGGAGTTTTAAGAAGGGCCCGAAGTTGAATTTTACAATTCAAACAAACAATTCAACAGAAACATATATGTAACAACGTAAAATGCCATCAGAATGTTAGCTTTGTCATTCAAAGCTTGAATATCTGATGAACATCTATTGCTCAAAAGGTGGTGGTGGGTGGGGAGTTTTTGTTGAAACATATTACGGGCAAGAATGTGAGGTTTAAAAACCAGAAACCCAAGTAACAGGCAAACTTATTGCTGTATTGATCGACAAGCAAAATTCCAGATATAACATTTTGTCTGAAACCATTCCTTTTTTATTAAAATTCCTTTTAATTCTTCCTCTCTCATCGCTCCTGTTTCATCTCCAATTCCTGTCTTTCCTTGTCTCACCTCCTCTCCTGTTCTCTTCTCATCCAGCTCCTGCAAGGCGAGGAAAGCTTGCTAAACCTTATGATGGAGAACTCCATGCAGTCTACCTGGAAAACACCCCAGCTGGGCCGCAAACCGCGAGGGAGCAACAAGCCCCGTGCTCGTGGACACCCGCAATCCACCAGCCCCACCCAGCCCCAGACACTCCTGTCTGCAGCGGCTGCCTCCGCTGCCTGCAGCCCCTCCACTGCTAAGAGCCTTTGGGCGAGCGTTGCGGAGGAAAAGCCCAGCCATGTGGGCCGCAAAGGAGAAAGGTCCAGGGGCGCCTCCAAGGCCCTGCACCACCACCTTCATCACCACCAAACCAGGAGCTCTGACCTGCACAGGGACCCTCCGCCGCAGCCACCGATCTCCAAAATGGATTCTTGTCATATCTCAGAGGACCCCGGCTGGGACAGCATCCACACAGGGAATGGTGTTGCATCAGGGGCTGGATCTGGTTTCACTGCAAGCTCATCTCCACTTCCGGCCTCAAGCCCTGGGGTCACAGTGCCTGACACAGGGGCGATCCTCCGTGGCGGGGCTCCGCGGCTCCGTCTGTCCCGCCACGGTAAATCCAGAGGGAGGGGCTTCAGTGGAGGTGGAAGCATAGCAGGGCTGGAGTCTGTGGACCTACCACTCACAGGAAAGGACACGTCCCTGCTGGACGCTGCCGAAACTGACGGGTACTTCTCTGATGGCGAGCAGAGTGATACGGACACACGCTCTGGCGGACGCAAACTCCGCTTGCCGCAGTTGCATTCTGGGAACGAGGACCTGCTGAGAAGGAGCGTGCTGGCGTCTTAAAGCACTGAGACTCCCACTAACACACAAACACACACACACACACAGTTATCCAAGCAGAGTCCCGCTGGCTAATTGTTTCTCCATCTGTGCCCAGAATACAGTCTACAAAACATGGCTGTATGGCTTTGTTCAACCAAATCCCTGTCACATTAACGTGGAAAATCTCTTCAGCTCTTACCTGCTTTGTTTTGGGGTGAATTTGAATGTAGCTGTTTGTCTGTCGTACAGTAAAGCTTCTCCACCGGACCGTAGTTTGTCGTTAGCTTACCACAAGATGCGATATGTTCAACAAATAGGAAACAAACATTACCCTTAGTCTTTCTCTTGTTTTGTATTTGAGATTCATTTTGTTTCTGGGTGTCGAAGTACCCATTTCTGGCCTCATGTCTGTGGTATCTGCCAGACTTGGGAACAAACACTTTGGGGCATTATTGTTATTATTCAAGCTGGTTTCAGGGTCCGCTTTGCTCTTGGTCTTTATGGCCTGAGATGCATCCAATGAGTCCTTGTTTTCTTGAATATGTTCAGTGGAAAGACAATTTCACACCAGAGCTGGTCTGAATATGTACAGATGGTGACATGGGACAACATGTATTCAGCCTTGAAAAGCACAACTAGCTAGTCGAAAGAGCTGTAATGTAAGCACTCGTGTGTGTATAATAGATGTTCATCCGGGGTTGGGGTCAATTTTCATCATGTTGACTCAGTTGTAAAATGTACACTAAAACCGCCATTCTCCAATTTATCTGCAAAAAAAAAAAAAAAAGACAAAAAAAAGATTTCCAGCTTCTCCAGTTTTTGAATAGCCAGTTTATTGACCCCAACCCTGGTGTTCATTCAGATTGTCACACAGAGACACAAACACAGACATACTGACACACATACTACTATAAGCAAATCCCTTTTGCTCACATCATAGCCGTTCGAAATATTTGATCTGACTTTTGTCAGCTGCTTTCAAATTCTTCCTAATTCTGAGTTCTTTGGGTTTTTTTTATTTTATTTTTTTTAGTCTGAATGTTTGGAGAAAGTTCATTGTAGAAACTCTGTGCCTTCTGTCGCTTGCCCTGCGCCCCTACAGCTCCTTAACCCCCCTTGCCCCTCAACCTTATCACTCAACCAAACAATCAGTAAGAAGATCAATCAGTCGTTTTCTCAATCGGATTTGTAACAATCAAACCAAAAGGAAATCCCGTTGGATTGGTTACTGAGTGTGGCCAGCATTGGGCTCCTTGTCACCTTAACAATTTTCTAGTGCCTGAAACAAGGATGTAAATGCAGCATTTGCCATTAATCAACAAAGCATCTGCAACAGATAGCAAAGCAGAGCCACACCATACTATCAGTGCAAAGAGCTGCCTACTGTTATGTGCCCCCACCAACTAGATCGCCTGCAGTCCAGAGCCATCGATAAACAGAGTTTGGCCAGGTTACACTGTGACCACAACAATAGATACACATGGAGAGGAAAAACAGAGAAAATAAAACATAATCCTGCTAGCCAACTGCTTTTTAGATTGGTGGTAAAACAACTTTTGTATTTTGTGTAGTTTCCTCTGTCAGTGGACAGGTCAGTGGTATGAATTACTAATGCTTCAATATTCAAGTTTCTTGTGTAAAAATCGGCCTAAATTTTGTGCCAAATAACAAATGTGTGCAAACATACAAGAGCCTCCCTGTCACAGACAGTCCTCATTGGACATTTGATGAATTGTTGAGAGAAAACTGGACAAAGAATGTGACAAAATAATCTCAACTCAAAGGTCCATTTAGTAGCTTTTGGAGCTTTCAACCACAACGCACAGTCTTGGCTGGCTCAGGTGTCATCGCATGACCAAAGATTGGAAAAACTTGTTTTATGAGCATCTTAGAAATGACCATTACATAACTTGAAGGTTACTCAAACCTCCTTTGACATGTCTCATTCATATAAAACAATCACTGACTCACTGTGCTTGTTAACATGAGCATCCATTGTGCAGTGTATTTACATCTTTGGATTATTTCTAGGTAGTGAAGCTGTTAAAAAGCAGTTATTTGTGGTTACTATATGAGGCCACCAGGGTTCACAGTGCACCGTGCAGTTTTCAGGCAACACGCGTAAACACAAATGAGTTAGTCATACTTTATATTACCCATGTGTATCTATGCAATTTATGATACGAGTGTAAGATGCCCAACACTGTTTTATTCTGTTAAGCTCTAAAGCAGGTTACACGTTTGACATGGACAGGCTCTGATAACTGATGGCTCTGCTGCACCTGTTCTCCTGTTAGATGAATGATGAAAATGTAATAATCAGCTTCAGAGGCCTGCGCTCTTAAGTTCTTGAATTGAGTTGTTTGTAAATTTGTTTTTTAAAAAGACTTTTTGTTGTTCTCTCAGAGAGTTGTATTTTGTACTTAAAGCAGTCCATGGTATTCTCAGGGGTTAAAAAATCTTTAAAAAAAGAATAAAAGGTTAAAGAATTTATCGAAAAAGCGACGCAAGACATAGATACATATATATATACATACATATTTTATATCGTATACTATATATATATATATACACAAAGTGATGTGTGTATGTCTAGAAACTTCCTTATTTGGCAAGCTTCGCTGTTTGAACTCCTACACGACTACTACTGAGCATGTTCCTTCTCTCAGTATGACCATACAACCATCAGCCCTGGGTTCAGTAGTCTCAACCAATAATTAATTAACGCTTATCCTCTTGTTTGAGTTACCAGATGACTAGGACAGGTCAGATGATATTGGCTTGGTGGTCAACTACAAGGAAATTCTTTATTTTCATTCTCTCCGCTTTCTTGCAGCTAAGACCTCACCCGTCTGATTCAAAATTAGGGTGAAATAAAGTACCGGAGGTGATTTCAAGGGCTGCTTGACCCAGGCCTGATGAACAGACACTTAAATAGAGGTGCAAGTCCAATCTACTTCCTCTGTTTTTTTCTGTATGGACGGCTTCTCACCGGTCTTCTGAAGTGACCATGCCAAAGAACAGATCTGTGTATCAAGGCAGCATATTTACATCTTATCTACACAAACACACATACACGTGCTCCGAATCTGGTTTTCAAGATGAAGAATGTTAGATAGGGGAGGTCAGATGACGCTGCCAGCGCTGTCTAGGTCAGCTCGGTTTAATCCAGATCTCAACCTGGTTCGACCCAGCTCCATAGGGTTTAGTCAAATGTGCTGTGGTGTTATGTGACCTCCTCCAATGCAGGGGGCGCTGTTCATTTTACCACCATAAACACAACCTGAAATCTCCTAGATCTGCATTCACAGGGGCTTCACATAGGAAAAGCCTGTTGCCCACAGTATGGGCTGGCGATGGTTTGTTAAACAGACTCACACATATAAACCCCCTTCAGAAAAAGCCAAATGCTGAACTGAACACACAACATACAGCTCTCTCTCTCTCTGTCTCTCTCTCTCTCTCTCTCTCTCACACACAAACACACACACACACACACACACACACACACACACATACACCAGAGCTGGTATAACAGGGTTATAATGTAAAAGATGACTAGTTTTTTATGTATATGTGGTCCTGACTGCATCAGGAAGTATAAGCTTACTCAGAGTGAAATGCCCCCTAACAACAGGAGAGTATTATTACTGGTGACAGCGCAGCCTCTCTGTCTCCTTAGTCCTTTAGGTGTAGCCATCGTAGAAGATTCACATAATAAGTCCTCCACTCATCTTGTTTTCGCCATAGAGAGGCAAAGTCTGGCCAAAACCCTCTTTTAAAAGTCAAGGGTTTGTGTGCAAAGTGTTGTCTGAAGGAGCTGCTGATTTTGTTAAGCAGCATTTATATACAGGACAGGTGGAGGAATTTGAACTTCTACGTTGGCTACCGTTATTACAACGCCCATGGAAACTGACCACAACAACACATACAACGACAATAACTGCAACAAAAGCTTGTGTTTTGAAGTGAGGATGTGGTGAAGTATCAATACGGCCCACAGGATCCTCCACCAGGTGGTTGTAACCATTCATGTGTTGCTAAGACATAAAAATGTAATCTTGGTTTCAATATTCAATGTTCAGAGTAGCCTGACTTTGTAGACAGTGGTATTAGACAAGGCCTCACATTTACGGCCTTAACATGTAGTAGCAAATGCTAAGGCTGCACAGTGCTGGTAGGTGGAAAAAAAAAAAAAAGAAATCACTTTTTCTTTTGGCTGAATTTCCTCTACAGAAAGTTGTGGAGGTAGTTAGGTGAGTTGCTGTTCCTGAACCCAAGAATAGCACCGTGGTACCTTGTCAGGCAAATTGCAGTTTAGATGTTTTTTTCTCCTTGATACTGTGCAGCCTTGGCATACACAAACTGGTTATTATTCTATATTTACAGTGTGGCTTCAATGCCCTCTCCTTCCGCTTCGTAGATACTGTAGACTGGACTCTTTTGCAGGTTCTTTTTTATCAATATCCACTAGAATACAACTTCAAAGCATCACTGTCCTCTGCGTGGTACGCTGGTGTGGGTGTTGGCTAACAGCCCAAAACGTGCTCTGATGATCTTTGAATTTTGCAACTCTTGTCAGGTCAGATATATCCACATGATCCAGATTAGAAATGTTGTTTCTTTTCTGGGTTTAATTTGTAATATCAGTCATGGAATTTCATTTTTTTTGGCCTCAGATTAAATCATCAGTGTTGATATCAGCAGAAGATCTGGTGGAAGTTCTTCTGTGCAAGCTCGCCATTTAGACTGCATGGTTAAGACATTATGTATAATGGATTAATATACAACCATACAGTTTTCTAAGTGGTGAGCATGTGTGAAAGCAAAATCCTCTTCCCCTGGAGTTGGCGTGAATGCTACACCACAGAAATAAGCTGGAGGGCATTGTGTACGTAATGGCAGGTCGGATACACACCTACACACAGCGGTGCATTCCACCTAGACTTCTGCTGAAAAGCTGGTTTATGGCCAATACTGATTGCTGCAGGCATTTGGAACCTCTCCTATAATTCGCACAGCTGCTGTCTACTGTACCGACACTGTTGTAAAACTCATTGGAAAGACATCACTGCACCAGTAGGGCTGGGTTCCTCAGAACTTCAGCTGAGCAAAGATCATGTTTAAAGCTATTTATTAGCAGGGAGGCAAGCTAGGACCATCCAGCAAAAAATAATTAATTAAAATAAATTGTGTTGTACAAGCCAATTTGATTTGAACAGAAGAAAGTGCTGCACCTACTGGATGGAAAAGTTTAATTTCTGAAATTTTAAGACAAAGATGAATTGTTGCCCTGAGGTGGTTTTGAGGAACCAGAAGGACACCGGGATGCTGTTAATAGGATGTCTCTCTTCCTCTGTGGTTGCTTTTTCATCCAATAAGAAAGTGGTTTGAGGCTGTCCTAAGGTCAGTAAAACCAGGGTTGGCAAATGCTCTAGATACTTAAGTGATGATAAATTTAATTTGATGCCTCAGCTTCTCTCGCAGGCCACATTTTTTTCTCCACAAAATGAGCGTTTATTTAAACAAGCCTGGGAACACAAAATGCCTGCTGGGCTCAAGTGAAAGCAGCTATTATCTCTGTAACAAAGATGAGGGAGATTACCGACAACACAGCTTGTTGCAGACGTTTTTTAGAATGTATCTAGAACTGAAATCTCAACCAAAGGAAGTGTCGGTGTTTAATGATTTGGTCATGCTGACTGACCCAATGACTGCCTAGTGCTTCCTGTTCCTGATATCGTTGTCTAATCCTTGCTTTACTGTCCTACGCCAGCCATACAAACCCACCCACCTACCTACTGGCGTACCATTGGAGTTTATACACATCTACAATAATGTATAATACTGTTCAAATACTACTACTAGAAACATTTTCATTTTCCGTGTTTTGAAAAGCCTTTGGAAGCTGTTTTTTTCTTTTATAACGCTTTAGCTGGCCGCTGTGGCTCGTATCAAACTAGAAAGCTGACTCATTATCTGCTTCCTCTGTTTTTACTGGCGCTTTGCTCTCCTCTCCGTTACAGCAAAGTTATGGCTTCAAGGTTTCAATATCCACAACCCAGACACACTGCACAGATTGGAGGTTTAGTCATACAAACTAAGCTGCTGTGGAGGCAGAAACAAGCTCAGTTGTCAAGTTAAGTCTAAATTGGTGGAGTCAAAGAACCACAGTGATTCGAATATGAGGGCCTTTTCTTATTCATTCATGATCTTGCAGGGTATAATTGGCAGACCAAGATCAATACAAGCAAGTGCAGTTAGTCTGACCTTGGAAGGTCAGTTAGGCGAACTAGATAAACTAAAAGCTTTGCCATATGTGATAAAATGCCTGGGCTACATCTTGTTTTGACAAATAAAAGCAGATCACTAGAGCTCATAGTCAATCAAGAGAAAACCATTCTGCAGCTGCTTTGAAAAACTGCAACTCCAGTATCTCAAATGTGAGGATTTGATGCTGCTCTTTTCATACACGATAGTACAAAAAAAAAAAAAAAAAACAGACAGACATTTCAACTGTAAAAAATATCTTCTAGACCAAACTATTAATTGACAGTGAAAATAATCAGTAGTTGCAGCCCTACAGATTGAGTAGAGTTTGTATTATTGTATTTTGGGGGTATTTTATACCTTTAATGGATAGCAACAGGAGAGTGATTACAGGAAATGAAAAAAGGACGAGGTGGGGATTGACATTCAACAAAAGTTTCAGGCTGGACATGAAACAGGGATGTTGTGGTTTGTGGTTGGTAACGATACTTCCTAAACCAAATTCAGAAATACATAAATCACATTAAGGCTGCAACCAGACTGCTAAGGTTGTCAACCTATCATTGTTTTTTCAGTTAATCCCTTGGTAAATTTTGAGATATATGTATATATATATATATATATTAACTTCAGAGTTATGTAAAACACTGTTTAAAACTGTAATGATAAATTGATGATCTAAATTGTTGGTGAGTTTCTTTACCTCAACTTATTAATTGTCCAACTGATTGTCTCACATGACTCACTGCCTTCCTGAGAAGTTACACCTTTCTCAACTTTTGAAAGCACTCGGCCAACCAAAAAATACCAAGGAGCGCAGATGTGTATTTTCATGTAAAACTTAACCTGAAGAAGCACACATCCTAATAGCTCCCCTCATTTATTTCTTACTCTTTGCCTTTCCAGTGGGCTTCAGTCCAACATCCCTTAGCCAGAAACACTCTTTGGCTCCACCCACTGAGGTTCAACAAAAACAGTGAGATTACATCTGCCTCCAGAGCAAAAAAAAAATGTAAAACTAAAGCTCCCATCTGCACAAACTGCTCACCTTATTCTGCCTCCACCATCCAACATCTTCCTCCTCCCTGCATACTTTCCTCCCTCCCACCACCAGCAAAGTCCCCTCTTATCCTCC